CTAAAAATAACTGCCATATGTAAAAGGGAAAGACTGAAATATCTGCCAGTGCAGAAAGATGTTGGGGCAGATTTGCTGTTTGTGTCAATGGTCATAGCGCCATTGGCTTTCATAGAGTTATGACAAATTTACACCAAATGAAGATCTGCCCCCAAGATCCTAGGAGAGCTCCAAAAAAGGGAGAGGAGTCTGAAGTGCTGAGAGGACTGGACAAATGTGGAAGTAACTGCAAAATCAGGTACCAGATGAGGCTTACCAGAAACCTTTCTGTATTACACTGTGTTAGAAACGCTGTTACTTTTTTGTGCGGACTTAGATTTTGGAGGCATATATTTGGGAGGAACGTGTATTTATAGCTAATACACTAAAAAAAAATTGCCCTTTTCACTGGAGCTGGTCAAAAAATGGGGAAAAAATTGAAAAGTTTTTGTAAAAAAATTGAAATTTGGAAAAGTTTTAGCACACAAATGTACATACAGGGCATATATACAGTTGTATCCAAGATCAAACTGGATTAGTACTGTAATATCCATATTATTAAATGTGATTATGTGCTGAGAGTTGTGTCAGATTTTAATCCAATACACTAGTGGATTATAATGTAATGACCTGGACTAAGGGCACAATTTTTTGGCATGGGGGTAAGGCTTATGACACAGGCGGTTAGTAATTAGAAAGTCTGAAAGTTTTACTTCGCCTAAAAATATCACTAGTAAATGATGAAAAAGATCTAGTGAACAAATATATCATGATGCCAGTCACGTTTAAAAATACTTACACTTTGCTTCATTGGAACTTTATCTTGGATGGGATGGAACTGTCTGTGCATGTAACAGAGGGGTAGCCGTGTTAGGCTGAATCTGTAAAAAGCAACAGAGGGTCCTGTGGCACCTTTAAGACTAACAGAAGTATTGGGAGCATAAGCTTTCGTGGGTAAGAACCTCACTTCTTCAGATGCAAGACTAAATAATACACACACACACATGCACATACAAAATAGTCCATCCATATGGAACATATCCATACGTATATTGTATATAAGTTTCAGAGGTTATGACAATATATGGAAGGCATTTTTGGTAGCCCTATGCTTTTAAAATTATTGTAATGACAACTATACATTGCTTATACATTTCGGTAAACATTGGGCTATTCAGTGTTCTGCTAGCCCCAGTAGCATTGTCAGGACATACTTTTTTAAAAATTGCTGACAGTGATAATATGTCAAAATGCTGCACTTATCTCAAACCATCTCACAGTGATCTCTTTCTTCACTTTTCTGAAAACGTCCCTATGTGACAAACTAATATTCCTAGGACAGAAGAGTCTTTCTTGTGTTTTATTCATATGCCAATATAATACAATAAAAACTCTTTTAAAGGAAGACGTTTAAATTCTGGTGTGTGCCCTTGAGTAATGGGTTTGGGTCAGATTAGCATAAATTGCTGGCAAGCCATCTGCTAAAAGGTTCTTGGATGGAGGCTCCTGATGGATAGACTGGCAAATATAACTTGGCTTTGCTGATACTGCTGATCTTGAGGATGGAGGAAGCAGGTAGCAGATATTTGATCAATGTGGTTTGAGTTCCTGTTTGCTCCTGAGTGAAACAATTTTCTATCTTTCTATCTAAATATAGCTTACAGGCATTTTTATCACCATAGATTCTGAGTGCTGCTAGAGAGGCAGGGCTGTGAGAGAGCCTTAACCCCCTTTCCCAGCCATGTTTAGGAAGGTTCTCAGATACAGCTGTGTATTGCCCAGGGGGAGTGCTGCCCTGAGGAGAAGGCATCTTACTGAAGTTTTAGAGGAGAGGCAATAGCATCAACAAACCCTGCTGGAGACCCTTGTCTGTTCAGAGTGGGCCAAATGTGCCCCGGGTGTAACTCCATTGAGTTCAGCACACTGGGGATGAATGTGGTCCAGCGTCTGAGCCATGTCCTGCCTTGATGGCGCAACCCATGTCACTCCTGAAGGAAAGTCTTCAGAGGGACAGTTTGTCACCTGTCTCTCATCCCTGCATAGGGGGAGAGGAAAGGAGCCAGGGTTAAATCTTTTAATTATACAAGTGAGGCTACCCACAGAGATTTAAATGCAATCCCCGTCTGGGTTTGTGGATTTCTAAAATTCGCTGCTGCCTAATTTCTCCTCTTGCAAAAATATCAACCAGTTTCTAGTGCCTGGGAGCCTAACCATCTATTTATTAAAATAAGACCAACAATATGTTTGTGCTGGAAAACATTAAGGCGCTGTACATTGATCATATGGATTTAGGTCTCGTTCTGCCTTCCTAATATCGCCAGAGCCTTATTCTGTGAAGCTAATTGCATTATAAATCCCTTAAAGCATTTTCATAAGGTATTGCCCAAAGATATGAAACCCTCCATCAAAGAACAAAGAAACAGTTGTGGGGTTGTTTTCTAATTAAGTGTTATAGGAAAGTAAAGGCAAAAAAGAGAGAGAAAATGCCAATGTTAATTAAATGCAATGCTTGCTTTCACTGACTAGATTTAAAGCATTGCAGGAAATCCTGAAATTTAGTCATTCCAGCTGAGAGCCCAAGGAATCGAGGGCTGTGATTTTTCATTTTCAGCTAGAGGTGGGCCCGACCAGGATTTGATCATCATCAAACTTCAGGGGTGTTTAGATCTAGACTCATCTCTACTCTTAACCCTTAGTGAGAGACTCCGCTAATCCACAGCTGCCGTGACCTCCCGAGAGCATCCAACTGAAACACCTGCTCTCACACATCTATATGCTGACAGCCCTCTCCTTCCCACATTGTGCAACCCGTGAGATTTCCCTGAGCATCATCTCAGGACTTGACCATGTAGGAGGCGATTTCCTCACTCACGTGTTCCTCTTGCCCTCATTTATGCTTCTGAAAATTTACACTTGGGCTACTACTGTGCAGTCGAGTAGATCTGGCGGTGTTTTATGCTCACTTGGTGAATGAGGACACCAGTGGTACGGCGCGCCGTACTCCTCCATGGAAGGCGCTGGCATGTAGTAGGTATTTAACTGCACGTGTTAAGTATACGGAGCTAAATCACACTAGTTAGGAAATAACAATCCTTATGTACAGTATGCATGAATAACTAAGTTCATATGCTTTGGAAGAGCTCCCCAATAATAATACTTTGCACATATAATGTGCCTTTTACCCAGGGATCTCAACTCTTTGACCAAGCTGGGTAAGTATTTTTATCTTCATATTACAGATGGGGAGTCCGAATCTCAGAGATTTCCCAAGGACACACAGAATGTGGCAGAGCCAGAGAATTAAACTCAAATTCTCTGACCACCAACCCTGAGCTCTAACCAACAAACTGCTCCCTTTATTATTTTGATATTTCTTTGGCTGATTGAGAGCGATGCATAACACTTCCTATCACATCTTCCTTTCATTTCTAAGGGCAGAAGGAATTCTCACCCCTTTTTGGCCAGTTGGAAATTATTTAGCATTTGCACATCTATAGTAGTTCTGCCCATTCAAAGAGTGATGTTTGGCATGCATATAGTGCCTGATGCTGTTACCTGTAGTCACCGAGAGCAGTGCTTTACTCACATGAAGCCCCCTCTGAAGTACCTAGGACTCTATGCATGAGTAAGCTACTTCTCAGGTTGAGTGAGAGTGGAAGTATTGGGCCCTTAGCACTTGTTGAGCATTGACCAGTTAATCATCACATCACTTCTGGGAGGTAGGTTAGCAAGCATTATTAACCCATATGGAAACAGGTGATGTAATTTGCCCAAGGTCACACAATTAGTCAGTAGCAGAGCCAGCATTAGAACTCAGGAGTTTCAGACTCCAAAGCTTATATTCAGTCCTCCAGTCCATGCTGCCTTTCAAATGGGTGACACTCTCCACTCCAGATGGCAAGAAGCTTGAACTAGCCAATCACAGGTCTCTGCACCCTTTTTGGAAATAGTGTGCACCTATTTTAAGGGTGTAAGTGAAACATACATCTTTTGTTGCCTCAGAACAAGGGATGAATTCCTTGTTGCAGCATAACAGCAAATTAAGGGGCCCACGTGAGAGATTGAGGCATGCAGTTATTTAAAAATAAAAGCCTGCCATGAGCATGCTTCAAAAGCGAAATGGATTGTGTGACTGAAATGACATCAACAGCAAGGAAAACGATAAATTTTCTGAGAGGAGTCTCATCCTCCAAAACAGGACTTTATCCTTTTGAGCTGGAAACATCTGGCATGTCAGTGGATTTTACAACAAAGGGGAGGGGGAAAACAATTTCTGATGGCATGAATATAAGTGATTCCATGATAAGGCAGAGAAGGGGGAAGAAAAGCCCCTGCCTCTTTTCTAAATTCTAGTGGTAAAAGATACATTTTGTATTTCTCATTTTTCTGCTGCTATTGACAACACTTGTTACTTGGTTGTAGAATTTCTTGAGTCATTTTAGTTTTTCAAAAAGTGACCATGACTTGTTACTTATACTGTAGCTGACAGAAGTGACACACTTAATATCGGGGGGTCCAAACCTGGATATCTACCAATGGAGATGGAGATCAGGTAAATGTGCACCTGCTCTTCCAAAGAGAAAAGAAGTGCCATCTTGGTAACTACTATGACAGGGAGTTGGTGGCTGTACAATGAACACTTTGGAAGGGAATAGGTTGAGTGTACAGCCCACCACTCAGTCCTGTTTAGGCCCAGCATGGTTGTGTGACAATGATGATCAGACATCATGCCATCTAGTAGGAGAATCTGGGTCTCTGCAGAAGACTCTGGATTCTGGCTCTAGTAATGGCTGAGCACAGATCCACCAACACAGAAATGGCAAGAGCTGTGGGTCCACCCACTGACTGACTCCACAGAGAGAGAGAGCCATGTATGGTACACACCCATCTTATCCTCCCAGATGGAGGGAAGGTGCCAGTGGCCCAGGATGGAGATGGAATCTGAGAGAGAAATTTCTGAAAACAGGAAAGAGCATTTACAAAGCATTTATATGTCTATGTAATTTTTTTACTTTTTACAGACGCTTAACAAGAACAACTTAATACCTGATGAGAGGACCAACTTCTATCCCTTGCAGCAAACCAACGTGTACACTACAACCTATTATCCCAGTACACTGAATAAATATGACTACAGGCCTGAGGCCTCCCCTGGAAGGACCTTTACCAACAGCTGATGATGGACAGACTGTCCAAGGACTGGATCACTTCCTATATGAATTGTTTTTTAAACTGAGTTTATGGACCAAATATTGGCCCGGTCTCCAGATGTAAATATTGTACAAGTAGGGCCTTTTTTTTTTCTTTTTGGTTAACTGTATTACTTTTAAACAGCACATCTCCTTAAGTTGACAGAATGCTTATGGACCATGGACCATTCTGCATAGACTTTTGTGGATATTTGGCTGGTGATGACACTTACTGCTGCAAATATTCATGGCTGGATGATCAGTATTTCTCTCTGAGGCCTGAATTCCCGAGGAGCTGATTGCATGCTGTGCTAGGTTTCCACCATGCTACACTCGTGTGTTCTAAGAAACATTACAGGTAGCTCCTTAGAGCAATGGATGATTGTACAGTGACTAGACAATGGCGGTACATTGAATGACACTTCGTTCACAAGACAAGCTGCCTGAGACTCCATCACGGTAGGAACTAGAACAGTTTTAGGTTTCCAGTGGTGTCTCCAGCATCACTAGAAGATTCCTTTCACATTGCAGGAAATAGCCTCCGCAGTCTCTTCTTTGGTAACATCCAGTTCAACTGGGGAAAGGAAACACACAAAGTACTCTACCCAAAGAAGCATTTCAGAATATTTCCAGTTTTAATTAAAAGAAAATGATACAGGCAATGAGATGTTAAGTGAAGTAAATGTTGGACTAATGAGATGTGGACTTTGCATAACAACGATGTGCTTACCACTGGAAAAAATGTGAGGAGTGCTGTACATGAGCCATGAGCTTTCTTTGAAATTACATTTACTTTTTTTCCCTCCAAGCTTGATCCTGTTCATATCTGCAAGGAATGATGACTGATGGCCAGGCCCTCCTCTTGTGAAATCACTAGGCTTGGGGCTCATTCTTATTTTATTATTATTTTTTTAGTTCACTTATTTTTTGAAGAGTAAGAAATTCTGAATTTTTGGCACGGTATTTTTCTAAGGAATGTATTCATAGCATACCATGACGCAGAAAGTCTGCTGCACATTCTTAGTGTCTTCCAGTCAGTACGCCATCAAATAATTATACAGCTGAATAATGTGCATTGTTTGCCAATATTTCTTTAGATTTCTCAGCTAGAAACAAACAAAAAAACCCAACCTTGTTACAGTTATTAAATGGGGACTGTAGCGTTATTAAACATTATATCCAGCCTTGAAATGTAATTTTGTGTATGTGTGTGCCTGTGTCCAGCAGAACTGTATTAGACTGTTGCAGAAGCCATGGTGTGTACAACCAGATATGTATGTCTGACATTGTTTTGTTTTGGCCAAACAGTATCGCCAGTGCTTAATGGACAGTTCCATCAAATGTGTTAGCAAAGTGAGCAAGTTTGACACTGTTAGTATTGAATGTTTCTAACTATTTATAATGAACTCCTGAGGCTAAGACTTTTAGAATGCCACAATACTGAGCATGAGATAAGAGTACAAACCTAAACACCCATGAGCTCCAAGTAGCTCCAGAACTTGAATTCTTTGTATGCATCTTACTGTAGCAATTGCCATGTTTGTTTTCAGTCATTGACTGGGATGCGTTTGAAGCAGTTTGGGTTGTATTGGTTACATAGGAGAGATTTCACTGAAAGCCAGCACTCAGCTAGTTTCTCATTGCTGTCATTCACGGACACTTGTTTGGAAGGTGGGGCTGAGATGGAGCTGGTCATTGCACACATACCCATCCACAGAGCTGAGACGAGGCTTTGCTGCTCATGACTCAAAATGTACAGCTCTCCTAAGGGTGAGGCAGAGCAGAGGTGGACTCTGTAACCTGGTCTTAAAGTGTGGGACCAAAAGCAGGAGAACAAAGTAACCTGTTTCTAAACTAGTTGAACCCTAACCTATGGTAGTGATCTATAGCTGTAAGGAGATTTATTATAAAATTTTGTGAGTGAGGGTCTTAGAGTAGCTCAATGACTCCCAACCTTTTCTGGCAACTGTACCAGTTTAGCAGGCTGATCCAGGTTCTGCTTCCAGTGATCCCAGTGTAAATTGGGAAAAACCCCATTTAAAAAAATTACTCTGGATTTATACAGCGGTATGACCAAAAGCAGATTCTGGCCCTAAGAGTTTGGCTGTACTAGTTTCTTCAACTTATTCAGCTAGATCAAAAGAGGCAGGCACTGGTCACAAAAGTCCCATTGATTTTCAGTGGGTGTTAGGTACCTAAATCCCAAGCTAAAGTTACAGGACTGGTGCAGAGCCCTCCTGGCTGACAACTGTTGCACTAGACATCTCTAATGTCAGCAGTTCTAAAGAAACTGGCGCCCAAGATCACTGTAGACATTACAAGCTAAAGTCATTTCTTAGCTTCCATTACAGGTGGTTCCCTGTGTCGGAGAGTTATACGGTTATTGTTTATTTGGCAGGATTACAGCTGCAATTCTTAGAGGTGCAAGCGAGTTAAACCTTGCAGTTATTTTAATTTTTTTTTTTTTGGTAGCTCAAACATTTCCATTTGCGCAAAAAAAAAAAAAAAAAAAGCCATGTAAGAGCTGAAATTATTTAGTTTTTCAACTCCGTGAGCAAGATCACTGCTTTCATTGTGCTTAACAGGTGCATATATTATAGTGTGTATGGGCAATGGGGTAGGTTATATTTTCATCAAGACATTTCAGAGTCATTCTTATTAGCCATCTGAATGGCTTCATGAAATTGGCAATCACAGCGAGAATCTGTGGACTCCATTCAAGCAGAAAGTAGAAGCACGGGGAGGAGGAACTCTGAACTCTTAGTACTCAATTAATGTTTGTGTGAGAGTGCAGTTCTTTAAGGGCAATGTTAATGTGATGTGAGGGTTGAATTCCTTCTGCGCTCCTCCGTGCGGCCCAGGTTAATGACACAATATACAATGATAGTCTTGTGTTTCTGTTTGGTTCTAGCAGGTAAATTGGCAGCAGACCATCAGATCTGTAATAGCCATAGGAGATTGAATTGCTTCTGCAGCCTGATGTTAAACTGCTTAAATTTCCCATTCTTAAGGTCATCTAAACGTATGCACAGTGTGTTGGAAATACCATTGCTCTAGCACCCAAGGTTTCTAACAGCAGCTTTGGCTTTTTTTTTTTTTAACTTTTGTTTTTTTCTAAAATGCTGATCAGTTATTCAGCAAGAAATTGGGTTGACCTTGCAGCCTTCGCTCACTGCAAATATTCTGGAATAGGATTCAGCTGTACAGCATGTTGAAAGCAGTAAGTGTCTTGCACCCAAATGGGTAGGGGGTAGCGTTTAACAAGGTCGTTCTTTTTCCACCTCCATATGAAGAGATGCACGACTCCCTTGCGCTAAAGGTTGCATGTATGGAGTGAACTATGCCCCATTGTAAAACTGCTATTGCACTTCACTGGATTGAGGTGCCAGTTATAAACATGCCACCCCTTTATAACTTGCAGCTGCCTCCAATAGACAAGACCCCCAAAGGTAAAATACCTGGAGAAAGGGGCGCTGTTGTCTAAAGAGGCACTTGTGAATGTTTGTAAATATGAGCCACTCGCTCTTCTTAAACATATGAAATGTACAAATACCAGAAAAGAATGTGTATGGAGTAATGACTGCTATTCTTAATGCCTTATTTTGAGAAAATGAAATAGAAGTTATATTGAAATCAAGGTAGAGAGTGGGAATGGAGTCCATTAAATGCCAGATGTGGTAAAGATGATTAGGAAACCTCCAATGATTAGTCTAAGATAAGCCCACGTGAAGATGAAATTGCTGTCCACACAGCTCAGTGTATTCTTTGTACCAAATGTCAGATTTTTTTTATACATATAAAATGTAAATTTAAAGTTTATGTAACAAATTTAATAGTGTGCATAGCTATCAGCAGATATCTAGGGTATATATTTATAATATATACACACACTCTGTCTCCATCCATTCAAATACCTACAGAGAAAATTTAGACTTAGAAAGGCAGTGCTAGTGTTCAAATTCCATAGGGAAAGACTGAAAATAAGGATTAAGAAACCCCATGATCTTTTAATTAGATATAGCAAAATACATTTTATAATAATTTTTAAAAAATTGAAAATAAAATTGATTTGTTGTAGTTACAAATGCCCATTCTCCACAAAACATTTGGCTAAGAATAACTAAGTAAACAATTTTTGTAGCCCAGTGGTGCCACCGGACTCCTTGTTGTTTTTGTGGCTATGCAGACTAACATGGCTACCCCCTAATTTTTGTAGCCACTCAGTGGATGACTAATCAACCTGAGGCAGCTCTGTGTATCACTCTTGAATTCAACTACAAGTAGAGACTAATTATGCAAACAAAGTAGCAGGTTAGAACAACAAATGGAAAGTAAAAAATGTCAAACTGGATCTGGAAGAAATTTTCACTTGCATGTTGAAGAGCTTTGCAGTTGAGTGGCAGCATAATAGTTTTAATAACCATTTCCACACAAGACTGTTGTCATACAACTTAAGAGCTAGATTCTGCCACCTCCTAGGTTGTGATTTTCAAGTGGGCCTGATAGAGCAATAGGAGAAGATGTAGCTAATGCCTTTGGGCACCTTTATAATCCCCAGCCTTGTCTTCTAGATTAACCCTCACCCAGGGACATCAGTGGGACTCCCTGAATATCAGGCATGCTCCAGCACCCACTGGAGTGATGGGAACATTGATTTCAAGGAGTGTAGAGTAAGGACTATACCCATCTGAGCAGTGGATTTGGCCCTAGCTAAAGGGGTTGTTTTTATAGCTCAGTGAATTCTCAAATGAGAACAGCTTCGGATAGGTAAATCCCTCATTTAAGCCAGTTAAAAGAAAACGTCAGATAAGCACTGGCCGAGTTGGATGCTGTCTGTAGCACTGGAGCCTTCAAAACTGCACAAGGAAACTACCAAAAGCAAGCCTTCATGGAGAATCCGGTATCTTAATTCTCATGGTCACAACATTGTAAGGTAGAGCCTTTCTTGAAGTTTTAACTGCAATTCTGGTTCCCAGCTGCAGAAGACCTATTCTCATCATTGTAAGCAGTGGTGTTTCCTTCTAGAACTTGATTCCTCATCCCAGCCCTATCCAGTATTTATTTTTTCCAAACACATTGGCCCTGACAGCGTGAATAGTTACATGCTATAAAGACAGCACTGAGCTTTTGAATTCCTAGTATAAATAGTTTTGAAATAAAAATACCACTACTCCTTTATTACACTGAAACCTTAGTGGGATTGGGATGCTGTGTACCATACAGGCCACAGCATGAGGGAGAGGACAGTGTGTCTAATAACTGAAGCAAAAGGGCTTTTAGTAGAAATATGGCAAAACATTGGGGAAAAAAGCCACCCAGCTGCATGATCTTGTGGGTTTCATCTACATGCAACTCATCTCTAATAACATCTGCATATATTTTGAACAGATGAGCAAATTAATCAGAAACAACCTTTGTCACAGAGGGTAAGTACGTTAGCTAGGACTTAAGCAGGGGTGAGGAGGGAGTGACAGAGGCAATGCCGGATCTTTGAAACACAGGAAATTGTTAGTAGAAAACAGTATATTTACTCTAAAAAAGGAAAATCTGGCAAGTATTAGTGGACTCTTAGTGTAAAGGCACATCACCCTTCCTATGCAATTGAACACGATGGTACTATTGGTATATAAAGGTGACCTAGACTGTAATCACTGCCTTTAGACACTGTGAATTTTTTTGGGGTACTCTGTATTTTTATATATTGTACAATGTAAAGAGTAATTCAGAAATAAAACAGAACCACCTGGAGAGCCTGTGAGTCATTTCCCCTCAAAAAGACATAACATGAAGTCACCGAAGATTTGACAGGCAACCTTTTCCTGGCAATGGTCAATACATATGTTACAGATGGCAAAACACATCCCAGAGTGCAACTGGCCAACTGGGCCAGGTTTAGAACTTGGAATATGTGTAAATATCTAATTCCTTGCTGACCACAATCCCCTTATTGCCTGAACCATGACACAGAATTGCATTTATCACAATTTTAGCCTGGATGACTACATAAGGTTACTGGGTATAAAATTAAATTCAGCAACACAATGCAACACTCCATCTAAACAAACCTGATTTTGTTCAGCATTCCAGAATAAAACTAAATACCAAAACCACTCCTGCCACTCTCCCACACTCACAAATCTTATTTCAGAATAAGGCATCAAATGGGCCGAACTAAAGCTTTGAATCAAGTGACTCCGAACGCCGGTGGGTTTGAAATACAAATCCAGGTCTGATTCCGCGGCATGACTCTGCTCCTTGGCTCCTGTAGCACCTCTGCTTTGTCCAGGGAACCACATAACTAGTGTCCCAAGGACACAGTGTTTTTTGTTGTTGTTTTTTTAAATTGTATCAAGTATATTAGCTTGCTCCAATGAGGCAAAGATATAATCAACATGCTGAGCCTTTCAGCTGTACAGTTCCCACTTGGACTGAGATTGTATTCCAGCTACTTTGCTATTGTTACATATCACAGTACAAAATTGTAAAAATGGGCACATTTTTGATTGAAGGATGCTCATAGCCTCTTACTGGAGAATGTTAGTGCTCTCATCCCATTTATTAATCAAAATAAAGACTGTAGAAAGTGACAGAGTCAGAAACATTTTAGTTTATGTTTCAAGACAGCTGAAGACGTATATTGTAGTTTTATACTGAAAATTACACCATACTGTCATAAAAAATAGATTGGATTGCTAACAACCTGAAACATGCTACACCTGCGTATGGAATACCTTATCCCTAGTAAATCATAAGCTATCTTTTGGGTGTTTTCAGATGCTCAAGTGTATGTACAAGAATTTCTTTTCAAACGCAGACCATCAAAAAGTAATTGAGAGGCACATCATCAGTAAAAATAAACTTAGTGGGAATCAGATTTTTTTCCCCATTATTCCTACACTTGAATTTGCATAAGCAATTCAAAACAAAACCATTTAGCAAGCAAGACACTTCTGTGTAGTGAATTCTCAAGTCGGAAACTAAAAATCTATGCCTAGCATATTGTTTTTCTAGCTACTAATTTGAGTCATTAAAGTAACAGGCTCACTTTGTTCCACAGTGCATGTTATTCTCACTCACCTTCACTGCACTTCACAACTCTATGCATTAGTAAAAATATCTAAAAATCCCTCATGCATCTGGGGAAGTTTGTTTAGGGGCACTCGAAATACTGGCTTACAAACACAGGCCAGGTAAGTGATTCTGAGCTGGCACAGAGCTGTGAGGGCTCGAGCCTGCAATACGCTGAGTGTTCTGGCCCTACTTCAGCAAAGCAATTAAACACATGCTTAACTTTAAGCACCTTGAGTAGGCTGGCTTTGGTTAAGTCCTTTGCTGGAGCAGGGCCAAAGTGCTCAGCCCGTTGCAGAATCTAGCACCTACTGTCTGGGATGTTACTTGCCTAACTGGAGATGGCTGAAGGGGCAACATCAACCAATAGCTACTGGACCTGCACATCCATTAGCAATGACAAATCACTTGCTGAATGAATACAGCAGCCAGTGGGATAGTGCTGGAGTTCAATGGTCTTTGCGTCCCCATTAAAGGAATAGCCAGAACGATCTAATCCACCCACTGTTTTTCTCCCATGCCTAATAGCACAATATCTAAGTCCTGGTGCTTTATTTTCTCTTCTGGCCTGTCCATTCTTACACAGTGGGGTTTTAGTGAAAACAGAAACATGCTGATGCCTCATCTATCTGACCAAGATACACTTTGGAGCAATTAAAGGTCCTTAAACATTGCAGTTTGAGAATATTTACAAACACAGTGTATGATTGATATATTGACTGTTAGTCTCCTTCCACTCTTTGTTTATACACACACACTTGCTGGGCACAAAGATGCTTCTTTGAGTGATTGCTCATGTGTATTCCACAATAGGTGTGCATGCTCGCCACGTGCACTGGTGCTGGAAGATTTTCCCCTAGCAGTACCCATAGGGGAGCACCCCAGCGACCCCTGGAGTGGCGCCTCCAGGGCGTGGTATAAGGGGAGCTGTGTGCTCTCCCCACCCTCAGTTCCTTCTTGCCGCCAGTGAAGGTGCTTCGGAACTGCTCTGCTCCAGCTTTTCTGTGGCTCCCCAAAACTGCTTGTTCGTTCCGTGTTGGAACCTGTAGTTAGTTAGCTGTTTAGTTTAGCTAGAGTGCCCAGGCAGGCCATGCCCCATGCTCCGAATTTTAAGTCGTGCGTCACTTGTAAGCGATCTATGCCACGGAGTGATCCGCACACAGACTGCCTATGCTGTTTGGGGGAAACCCATGTCAGCGATCGCTGCAAGATTTGCAAGTCGTTTAAGCCTCGGACCAAGAGAGAAAGAGACATTAGGCTCCAAGCTATCCTGATGGAGTCAGCACTGACCCCGGCTCCAGCACGCTGCTCCGAGTCGGCACCGGGCACCGTGGTGTTGGTGCGTGGCGACCCTCCGGCGCCATCGACTAGTCAGCACCGCTCCCCATCCACGGGGCATGCCAAGAAGGCTAGGAAGAGGCCTTCTTCACCGCGGCACCGGAGTAAACCCGGAACAGAGGCTAGACCCACGTCGGGGAGTCCTCTATTCCCACCAGCCTTGAGGCCGCCAACTCAAGTCGAGCGGAGCAGCCCGGCCCATTTGGAGTAGACCTCCCCGAATGTCCGCTCTGCAGGCGGCGTGGGACCTTATGTCCAGGCCAGTACCAGGAGCACTGCCGATGTCGACCCCGCGATCCAGAGGCAAACCACCGCTGGGATCTCCGCAGTCGCCCCATGTCTCAGTCGAGGGAATGTTTCTGATGCCGTTCACTGCCCAGTGACCGTTCAGGGAAAATCCATGTGGATTGCCCTCGATGCCCACCAGGCTGTCTGGTTGGGTTCCGTCTGACCGAGACTCTTGACACCACTCCGCCTTGAGGAGCGAACACCGATGGGATTGAGGCAGATGTCACCAAAGGTCCTCATCTCGGAGGGGCTATCTCAGCCGGTCACGGCACAAACATCAACGTCGTTCCTGTTCAGCTCCAGGACCCCGCCACGGCACCGCCTCTGCAGCCCTGGGTGTTGATCACTGGCGTCTCGCCATCGCGGGTCTGCCTGCCGGAGCCAATTGCGGAGCAGCTGTTACCAATGGTACCGGTCCTCCACGTCGGGATCGCGGTCCTGTGGTCGGCATCGTTCCCAGCGCCGCTGCTCCTCCTGGTCCAGGAACAGCGGCAGGTCATATGTCAGCCTGGCCTCCCTTCTTAGTCGTCCTTCGATGGATCAGGCCAGCCAGGCCTAACAGCCGGCTCCGCCAGTGCCACAGCAGGTGCAGTGGCACCAGGCCCCGTTGCCGTCCCAATGGTACCAGTGGGCACCGTGGCCCTTGACACAGCCCCCGGTGGGGGCTCGCTCAGTGGCCGGAGCCTCAGAAGGACCTTCGGCCTCCCTCTCCAGGCCTCTGAGGAAGGAGTCAGTGGGACGTACATCCTCGGCACCGTGCCCGGAGACTGACCTGGTGGTGGACACTCCGGTGCTGGTGGACACCCAAAGTACCATGCCGGCCTCCTCACCCTCCACAGATGAGGTGATTACGGCCCCTCCTCCTTCCGTCCCACAGGAGGACTTTAGAGCCCACCAAGAACTCTTAAAAAAGGTGGCATCAAGCCTCCACCTCCAAGCAGAGGAGATGGAGGAGCCCTCAGCCTCCCTGTTTAACGTGCTGTCCTCCTCGGCACTGGACAGGGTGGCCTTGCCTCTCCATGAAAAGTGGCGAAAATTTCAAATGCCCTGTGGCAAACCCTGGCCTCACTGGCCCCCATCTCTAAGAGAGCAGAATGCCAGTATTTTGTACCCGCCAAGGGGCAGGAATACTTATGCACCCACCCTGCTCCTAGCTCCCTGGTGGTCGAGTCGGTCAACCACAGGGAATGGCAGGGCCAGCCAGCCCCTACCCCAAAAAATAAAGATTCAAGGAGGCTGGACTCTTTTGGAAGGAAAATGTATTCCTCCTCGAGCTTCCAGTTATGGGTGGCAAACCATCAGGCTCTCCTGGGCCGGTCTGAGTTCAATCTGTGGGGCTCCCTGCCCAAGTTCGAGGACTCCCTCCAGGAGAGTTCAAAGCGCTGGTGGAGGAGGGTACAGCGGCTGCCAGGGCAACCCTGCAGGCAGCTTTGGATGCAGCGGACACGGCTGTGCGGCCCATGGCCTCTGCGGTGTCCATAAGAAGGGGGTCATGACTCCTGCTCTCTGGGCTGTCCAGCGAGGCACAGACTTCCCTGCAGGACGTCCCGTTTGACGGCAATGCTCTGTTTGCGGAACAAACAGATACAAAGCTGCATGGCCTGAAAGACTCCCGCACAACTCTCCAGACTCTGGGTCTCTATGTTCCGGCTCTGACTCAACCTAAGTTCACGCCGCAGCAGACTCCCGCTCGGGCCACCCACCCAAAATACGATACCGCTTATAAGAAGTTGCGGGACTACAAGAGGCGCCCACCGAGGCAGTCTCATCCTGCCCCCCAGGCTGGGTCCTCCAAGGGCAGTGGGGAAAAGGCGGTTTTGACGGGACGCCCGCGGGCGTCCTGCCAGTTATCCTCAGGGATCCACCCTCAATAAAGCTTCCCTCCTCCAACCGGTTGTGTGCTTTCCTCCCGGAGTGGTCACAGCTGACCTCAGACCGATGGGTCCTCAACACCATCTCCCGGGGCTGCACCCTCCAGTTTACTTCCTCCCCGCCCCCATCCCTCCTGGGGGATCCCTCGCACGAGGCTCTGCTCGAGCAGGAGGTGGGATGGC